TTAAAACAACCTTTGAAGTGGGTACTGCTATTGTTCCCGTTTCTTTAAACTTAAGGAAACTGAGGCACAGAGAAGTTAAACAGTTGGCCTAAGCTCTCACAGTGAGTATTGGGAGCTCTGCTGCCTGTTAGCAGCATAATGAGTTAACTTTGTGTGAAGTATCTAGGATAGTGTCTAGCATGGAAAAAGTAGTCCAAGATAGATCTGTTAAGACCTGCAGGGTCTAAGATTTCACCCTACTTACAGGCTGACGGGTTAGTCTGTTACTATTTTGTGGATCCTGGCAGAAGAGAGGAGGCTCCATGAAATTGGCACACGACCTTGTGGATTTGTGAGTAAGGAAAAATGTCAGGTGCTGCACGGTTCTTGACAAGATCCCTGATGACTACCCCTACGGCCACAACTTTTTGTTTACCCCAATTTATTTTCTTTCTAGAAGAAGTAATGAGTAAGAATTCATTTACCAGGATAAATAAAATATATTATCGCTAAAATAGAATACTATAAGTTGTTAAAAAGAATACACTAAATCTGCCTACAGCAACTTGATTAAATCTCAAAACATTATATGTACAGTATGACACCATTTTTGTAAAGATTTTCCTCTCGTAAATTGATACTTCGTATTAATAGATACCTGTGAATGTGAAAGTGTGAAAAGTGGGCTGAAGGATGCACCACAAACTGCTTTCCCCTGGGTGGGGGAGGCACTGGTATAATGTTTGAATTTTTTAATGTAATTTTTAGTAGGTGAAATATTGTTATTAATTCTTGGTAGTTGGAAACACAGGTGTTATGTTATTTATGCTTTTCTGTGTATTTTAAGTTTCTCTGTAAGTCAGTAATGAGGCACGCATTGAGCATTTACAAGCCAGCTTAGGTTGGTTTCTGTGGAGGACACAGGCATGAATCAGATGTGGATCCTGCCCTTTCAAGGTTAGATCTGGGGGGGGATATGGAGCACGTGCCTGAATAACTGGTACAAGATAGAAGGTTGTACGTGGCTTAAGGAAAGTCTGAGTAATTAGACAAGGGAGGAAAAAAATAATCTCTGCTTGCATAGTTGTAAGGATTAGAAACAAAGACTCTTCGTGCTTTATTCCTGAATTAGGATCATCTCACAAATTTATCATTCATTTAGAATCATGCTTTTCAGGGTAAAAATGTGTTAGCTTTAAGGTCTGTTTCAGAGATAATATTTTAATAGTTATTTTTAAAGGATTCATTTGGAAGTGATCATTGGTGTGGCATAAAGTTTTGTTTAAAAGAGAAAAAAAACAATCTTCAGTAACTGCCCTCCTCTTGGAGAGGTGAGCAGCTTTTTGTCAAAAGTGCTGAAGTACCATGTTCTTAGAGGCGTGTGTCAGACAGCGTGGGAGGGCCGGGCTCAGTTCAGGGGACTGTATTCCTTCACAAGCTTATGTTTGCCAGAATATTCCGAGATACGTTTTAGAAGCTACCTATGGCATTAATATCATAAAGCCTAGAGAAGATGAGGATCCCTGTCGACCTCCAACATCAGAAGAACTGTTGACAGCTTATGGATGTGAGTTGGGATTTATTTTAAAACATGAAAAAAAATAATATACTTAATGAGAGAAATGCTTGTCTGCAAAGATACAAATTCAGAATTTTTCTTAGCATTTGTTGCGTCAGCTTTGAGGGTTGATGTTTTTGTCGTCTCTGTTGCCTTGCCTATGAGGTGACCTCCAGGAGGTTGATCTGGTGATGGTTTCAGGGTCCACCCGTAAGGGAGGGAGAGCTGACTGCTCCCTGAGTGTTACTTCACTTCGGTGTGTTAGTGCTTTTAGAGTTAGAGAAGGAGATGCTTGTATCCTCTGCCTCTTCCCCAGGTCTGCCCTCTCCTAACCTGCAGCACAGAAATCGATCCCTGGGAAACACATCTTCCCATGCGCTCCTTCCCTGAAGGAGGGAGGCCTAGATGCCGTCACTGTAAAGGCCCCACAGGGAGCCCTGGCAGGGCCTGTCAGCGGCTGTCACCCACTTCTAAGAAAAAGCCCGTAGGGCCATTCACCACTTTGATGGTACTCAGGTGTAGACACAGGTTCTCATCTGAGGCTGTCTTGGCTTTTTCTGGAGTCTTCTCCTTATCAGGAAAGAAAAGGGTTGTTGGGAGGAAAGTGAGTATACTTATCAGAGCAGGGTAGGAGAGTTGTGAGGGAGCCTCAGGAGGGAGAGCCTCAGAGATTGCGACAGAGTGGAGCTGATTAGGATGGAGACACAGAACGTCCTCTTTGCCCGTCCATCGGTCCCTTGCCAACCTCGTTTGACATTAAAATGAGTCCACAGCTCTCCTGTCTCTATGTTTTACCCCACTTCTACTGGGAGTTACCTTTGCCTATCATTTCTCCAGCTGATTGTGACTTCTTTACCTTAAATACAAACTTTAAAGGTGGTCTGGGTAAAGAAGAGCAGCCTTAGAAGCGTTTCCTGCATGTGTGGCTGGCCTTTAAAGGAATTTCCACCAGCTCTTGGGAAGGAAAAAAATCTGTCTACTGGCGGAGAAAGGTGATTTGATACGAACCACGCTTAAATCAGACCTAGGAGTTAGTTGAGAGACTTTAAAGAGGATAAGTGCTAAGCACTTGTGGTAAGACTGGTACAGTCACAAAGTCCTAGAACTTGAAGATCACCCAGCTCTCGTCCCCCTTTTTTTAAGACAGCTAATCTGACAGCAGAGCCTGAAATGACCGCCCCGGGGTGGTTCTGGTCAGTGGCAGAGCCTGGGTGAGAACCCAGATTTCCTAATGCAGACTTCTCTCCACTGTGCTGGCCTGAAACGGGGAAAGGCGGGCTTCTACCAGACTTCCCATTTGGTCTGACTTCCAGATGAAACTGAAAGAATGAGAGTGTTTTAAGATTTTGTCATCTAATTCTGTCTGATAAAATCAGAATAAGGGAAAAGCCAGTTTGTAAAAATGGATGGCCACATGTGTACGGTTTCTAAGATCACCGTCTGCAGGGCTGTAAAGAAGCGTCATTGGCGGTTCATTGTAAGTGCCGTCACTCACTCATTTTAATTTGCATTTCTTTAAACACTAGTGAAATTGAGCATCTGTCCCTGTATGTGTATTTATATTATATTTATTATATATTATTAATATTATATATTATAATATATAATATATTTATATTATATGGCCGTTTATATTTCTTCTGGGAATCACCTTTTTCTGTGTGTTTGGCTTTTTAACGATTTGTGGGAGTTCTTTGTTACATGTGCCATAAATGTTTTTCCCAATGTTTGTTTATGGTTTCTCGAGCCCTGTAGAAGTTAATTTTAATAGACTATTTTTTTCCTTTTTGGCTCAATTGGACTTGGTGTTTTACTTGGGAAGACCTTTCCTATCCCAAGAGGACAGAACTGTTTTCCTGTAATCTTTTATTTTTTTAAACCTTTAGATTTTTAATCTGACTAAATGTATTTTTGTGTATGGTGTGAACTAGGGTTCTATTTTCTTCTAAACTAAAGCCAACACACAGCTAGTGTGTGAGGGAGCTGAGTTTTGAACCCAACCTGTCTGCCAAACCCCGTATCCTTAACGTCGCTGCTCTGTGACTCTTCTGAGTTAATATCAAAGGGGTCTTTGTTGTATGTTTGGGAAACTGAAAAAAGTGTAGCTATATCATTAAATAAGGAAACTTGCCCTGTGGCTTTGAGTTTTGCTAATAATAGGACAACACAGCGTTCTCCAGGTAGCTTCCTTGTATAAATGTTTACAGTCAAGAAATGAAAGAAATAACTGGAGTAGAGAGAAATTGAATGTGTCTGTCACAGCATGGGCCTAGGTGGTCGGTAGGATATCAGACTATAACAGTCTAGTCTATTTTCCTAGATTATCAAATGTTTTTATAATGCTAACCAAAATATTTTCTACATTAATTGATTTTTTAAAGAAATAGAGTAAGGATGCATAGTTAGTGTAGTGATTTATTTGGTTACATAGTTTACGTAGTTAATGTAGTGATGGAAAAAGCTAGATTTCCATCACCTCAGTTGTGTTTGTTGTGGTGTTCTGTTTCCTAACTTAGGTGTTGCAAATTTCATTTCTCCTCACAGATATGCGAGGATTCATGACGGCCCATGGGCAGCCAGACCAACCTCGATCTGCGCGCTACATCCTGAAGGATTATGTCAATGTGAGTGAACCTTGCTTCTTGTTGCTCTTGAATAAGTAAATCTTCTTTCTCCGTAGTGTGTTCTTAGATAATGGCAACCTGTTAAGTTATAAAGGAATATTTTCTCATTGAGATTGTGTTATAGCTGGAGTTGTGTTCTTGATCCAAGGCAGCTAGCACCATATAAATCATAGACGTGACTGACAACATAATATGAGAGATGAAGATCTCTGAACATCTGTTATCAGTGAAAGTGATAAATTTATGCCTCTGGTCTTTCCATCTCCTGCAGCCCTTTGCTTGTTTCTGTTGCAGCCATATCACAATCTTCCTTAACTATAGCTGTGTATGTGCCTATTTTCTTATACTTATCTAGTAACAATAATAATAGCTACTATTTATGCAAAGCTAACCCCACTAGAATAGTTCTAAGTGTTTTACAAGTATTATCTCATTAAAAATAATAAGTCTGAGGTTTTTATTCTCATATTACAAATGAAAACTTGCTAAGTTTTGGGTTTCCTCCTCAATAAAATAGGAATAGTGCCTCTCTCATGAGATCGTTATGGGAAATAAGTGAGAACAGTGTATGCATATGGAGATGTGTGTGTGTGTGTCTATACATACACACAAACACACCACTCTGCTCAGTGCCTGGCATTTACTTAGCCCACAATAATTTTTATATATTAAGCTTAATTCTTTCCGTAAATACACACAACATGGCCCGAATAATAACTGGTTGTGATGGTTTGGCTTTATTCCCTCCTCCTCTCAATACCACATCAGCAGAGCTCTTGGAACAGAGAAGTAAAAGTGAGCAGCCATATTCTCTCGCCTTCAATTCAGGAAGAAAGTAGTTAATAGAACATTTGTATGGATAAATTATTTATTCATTTGCCATTTATAAAACTAGATGAGAAGGTGAGTTAAAAACAACCAGTTTTCAGTGTTTATGCTGGAAAGAGGAAAGTTTGCACCCAGTGAACAACTGCAACTTGCCCAGTATCGCCATGAGTACAGTCATACTGTCCACTGTGTCCTGGTTTTTGTTTTGGAAAATACTCTTCTTCAGTATAATCATATAAGTGTTCTGAAGAATACTCTAGTAGAAATGCAGACAAGGTAGCAGGAGCACAGAGGAGACAGGTTTCATGCTAGTTTGGGGCTCTGGGAAGAGCTAGGCATCTAGAACACTAGGATCACCATCACATATTAGTGAGGACTCTGTGGTCAGAGTTGACGAAAACTCGGCTCAGCCAGCTTAATCACGAAGCAGAAAGCTCTGGCACAGTGTGCCCGTGTGGAGATGTCTCCTCTGAGGACTTTACACAGATGGCACTTACAAGGCGCTGTTGTCATTCGCATTGTCTTTGTAGGGTAAACTTCTGTACTGTCATCCTCCTCCTGGAAGAGATCCAGTGACCTTTCAGCATCAACACCAGCGATTCCTAGAGAACAGAATGAATGGTGGTGAAGTCAAAGTGCAGCCAGGTGGAAATAGAAAAGCAAAACAGATTGAAAATGTAGTTGACAAAACTTTTTTCCATCAGGTAAGTTTTAAAGTTTCTTTAACTTCTGACCCACCACATTTTGCATAACAGTTTTATTGAAATATCAGGCACATACTGTAAAATTCACCCTTTTAAAATATACAGTTCAATAGTTATAGTATATTTACAGAGTTATGCAACCATCAGCACTAATTTTAGAGCATTTTTATCACTTCAAAAGGAAACCCTGTATGCATTAGCATTCCCTCCCATTCCCCTCTCCCCTCAGCCCCTCCCAACCACTAATCTTTCTCGTTATATAGAGTTGCCTGTTCTGGACATTTCATATAAATAGACATACAGTATGTGGTCTTTTTGTGACTGACTTCAACTTAGTATAATGCCTTCAAGCTTCATCCATATATCAGTACTGTATTCCTTTTTATTGCTAAATAATATTCCATTGAATGGCTATACCACATTTTGTTTATCCATTTATCTATTGATGTCCATTTGGGTGGTTGCCACTTTTTCTCTATTATGAATAATGTTGCTGTGAACATTCACGTGCAAATTTTTGTGTGGACGTATGTTTTCAGTTCTCTTGGGTACATACTTAGGGTGGGGTTGCTGGGTCATATGGGAACTCCATGTTTAACATTTGAGGTACTGCCAAACTTTCCAAACTGGCTGTATCATTTTACACTCCCACCAGCAATGTATGAGGGTTTTAATTTCGCCACATCCTTGCCAATCTTTATTTTCTGTCTTTTTTATTTTAGGCATCCTAGTAGTGTGTGTGAGGTGGTGTCTCATGGTTTTGACTTGTTTCTCTAATGATTAATGATGTTGAGCATCTTTTCATGTGCTCACTGGCACGTGTATATCTTCTTTGGAGGAATGCTTGTTGTTGAGTTCTGAGAGTTCTCAGTATATTCTGGATACAAGCTTTTAAAATCATATTTTTGATTTGCAAATATTTTCTCCCATTTAGTAGGTTGTCTTTTCTCTGAGCCAGCACATTTTAATGACTTTAGTTGTTTACCTCACAGCTACAATTTGTATGCAGCATTTTAAAGAACAACTTTATATGCAGAACAGTTTAATCATGTAATTGTACCTAATGTATTTGTTAAATGCTTTTAAGTGACTACAGTAGCCAAAAGGGGGCTGGGGGGGTGGTCAGTTGTATCCAGAGAATGACTGTCTCTGTGTTCATCTGGGGCGTTATTTGTGTGCCTCACACTGAGCCTGTGGTGCAGCAGGCCAAGCGGATGTTATTACCCCCATTCTACCACCGAGGACATGGAGACTCAAGGAGGCTGAGTGACTTACCCAGGGACACTTGTTTTAAATGACAAAGCTGGAATGGAACTTAGATTGTTGTGGCTCCTAGTTTGAATTATATCCAAGGCTGCCAATATTTAACAGAAAATTTACCCATATGCAGAAAGATCACAGGTTCTTTCTTGAGCCTGCTACTGTCATACAGGACAAGTTGAATTTTTAAGTGTTTACAAAACATTTCTAAAGGTCATGTACAAGAATGCTGAAAACTGAGAGTTAATTACAATATAATAATGCATGAATCTAAGCTTTAGCCTCCAGAGTAATACTTCACTGTTATAAGAAATCATGAGATACTGCTTTACACTTGCAGATCATATTGGATTAAATTCTTTTTGCTAAGTAAACTTAAAATTTGTTTAGTTTTTTTTCTTTTGTTTTGTTTTACTTAAATCACAAATTTATCAGAACTTTTTTGAGCACTTTCTGTGTGCCAACTACTATGTTAGGACCTGGGATACCAAAATAAGTAAGACACAATTATTATAAAATGATTATATAATGGGATCACATTCTAGCAAAGGAAACACGGGCAAGTTAACAAAGAACATGACATGTTAGGTCTAGGACGGAGGTGGAAGTCAAGTACTTTGTGAACCCAGATTGGGGAGCAGTTGTCTTGGGAGTGAGTGAGAGTGAGAGTGGGTAAGTGAAAGCTACAGAGAGGAAGCGATACTGAAGCTGGACTTTAAGGGACAAAGAAAAATGTGCCAGTTGGAAGGAGTGGTGAGGGTCAGATTTCCAGGCAGAAGGAGGAGTGTGAACAAGGGCATAAAGATATGGGAGCGTGGGTTTTGTCAGTAAAGAGCCCATGTGTAGGTGGCCTTGTGTGCCATGTGAGGGAATATGAACTTGATTCCTTGGGCTACAGGGAGCCTGCAGAGATTTGTAGTGGGACACATGATCAGAGAACTCTTGTAGGAATGTGGACACTGGATCATCAAGCAGTGGAGGAGTCTTGCCGTGGTCTAGGGAAAGCTAATGAACATCTGGGTTAGCAGTGGGGATGGAGAGGAGGGCATAGATGAGTAACGTTGTAGAGACTGGAATCAACAGAACTGAGTGGCTAGCTGTATGTGATAGACACTGAAGACAGAGTGTGCTGTCTTGGCGGCTGGGTGAATTCTTATACCACTAGGTGAAATAAAGAATGGAGAGTCAGCTTCTAACTAAATTTGGGTTGAGGCAGGTTGAATTTTGATATCAAGATAGGAACTTCCAGAAAATAACTGGTATTAGGAGTCTAGTTCTAGATGGTATTAGAAGCTATGGGACTAAATAAAGTTGAGAAGAAAGAGATTGAACTGAAGACAGAACGCTGAGAATGGGGAAAGAGGACCAGTGAAGGAGGTGGAAGTCCGCCATCTTGGAGTCCTCCATAAATAACACTGTGCAGTCTCCTCCAAAGGAGACTGCTGACATCTCAAACAATGTTTTCTTCTTGTTTCATAGGAAAACGTGAGAGCTTTGACCAAAGGAGTCCAGGCTGTGATGGGCTACAAGCCTGGCAGTGGCCTGGTCACTGCAACTACCGTGAGCTCTGAGAGCGGGGCTGGGAAGCCCTGGAAAAAACATGGTAACAGAAATAAAAAAGAGAAAAGTCGTAGACTCTACAAGCACCTGGATATGTGAACTTGGGCTGCAGCAGAAATGGCATCTGCCTTGTGCATCCAGACAAGAACAGAAGCTGCTCGTTGCCTGTGGTGCTGTAGAGTGGACCCTGCCCTTGAGGCACCCAGCCACTCCCAGCAGTCAGTATCAAAACCGAGGGGCTCCTCGGAGCACCAGCTCTGACTGACATGGTCACCTTGGAGCCCCAGAAAAGAGGAGGGAATGAATGATAGATATTTGTTGGTGTAAACATATACACAAATGTGTACTAATTTGTAAGTTGGGGATTTTTTGAAAAGATATTAAAATTAAATTGCCACTAACAGATGTTTTATTGGTTTATGTAGATACACTGCCATTTGGGCATTTCATGTTCTTTAAATGATTTTAATTTGCTAAAACATGACTGGCATTTTAGATGGGTTCTTTTGAGTACATTATTTAGATTAGCGATTCTCAACCTCACACACGTACCCAGCACCCCCTGATAGGGCAGAAGGCAGTATCAGATCTTGGAATGGGGGTCTGGTACACGTGATTGTTAAAAGCCCCAGGAGAGCATGACCTATTGAAAAATCACCATCAACATAGCCACTACCACAGAGGGAAGCGTGTGTTTTTCTAGAGCTAACCCACAGGGAGTAAGAAGTGGGTGAGCCAGGGAAGGATTTATACAGGGGAGGAATGAAATGTGTTCTAATTCTTCACTTAAATGTCGGGTGAAAGGTTATTCCAGATCAAGACAGGTAGACTTAGAGGGGGCAAAGCTGAAGATGTAAAATTGTGCTCCTCCCTCTGTAACATCCTGCTTCCAGTCATTCCCTTTTATGTGAGAGAAGTGAGACAGCCTAAAAAGCTCTTGACAGAAGAGGACCAAGCACTGGCGTGTGAAAGCGTGCTTGGTTCCCTTTACGGAAGAACAGACACAGGCATATGGCAGGAACTTTCATATCAAAAGAATAAAGTGTGTATTTAGACTAAGTTTTGCTTTAATGATAGTGTAATAGCCAAAATATGAGACTTTTTAGAAAAAGAGTCTAATATATAATGCTTTCATGCTTTTACTTTTGTAACTGTTTTATTAAAATAATTTCATACCATACCCCAATATAAAGCATACAATTCAGTGGGTTTTAGTATATTCAAAGGGTTGTACGACCATCACCACAATCAATTTTACATTTTTATCACCCCAAAAAGAAACCCAGTACCCTTTGGCCATCAGCCCCCAATCCACTCACCCCTCACCCCCCAGGCGTAAGCAACCACTAATCTATTTTATATATAGATTTGCCTATTCTATTCATTTCATATAAATGGAATCAATGTCTTCAAGGTTCACCCATGTTAGAGCATTTATCAGTACTTCATTCCTTTTTATTGCCAAATAATATTCCATTGAGTGCACCTACCACATTTTGTTTATCCTTTTATCAATTAATAGACATTTGGGGTTTCTGCTTTTTTTGGCTATTATGCATAATGCTATAAACACTGATGTACAAGTTTTTGGGTAGACATAGATTTTCATTTCTCTTGGTAAATATCTAGGAGTAGAATTGCTGGGTCATTGGAATTGTGATGTATTTAACCTTTTAAGGAGCTGTCAGACTATTTTCCAAAATAGTTCCACCATTTTACATTTCCCACCAGCAGTGTATAATGGTTCCAATTTCTCCACAGCCTTGTCCACACTAGTTACTGTCTTTTTAATTTTAGCTATCCTAGTGGGTGTGCAGTGGTGTCTCATTGTGGTTTTGATTTGCATTTCCTTGATGACTAATGATGTTGAGCATCTTTTCATGTGTTTATTGGCCATTTGTATAAATCTTTGGAGAAATGTCTACTCAGATCCTTTGCCCATTTTTTAATTGGGTTATTTGTCTTTTTATTATTGAGTTACAAGAGTTCTTTATATATTCTAGCTACAAGTCCTTTACTAGATATACAATTTGCAAATATTTTCTGCCATTCAGTGGGTTGTCATCTTTCCCTGATAG